TGACGTTATTTCTATTTTCTACTAGAGTACTGACACATTTCTCATGTTTCACATCTGTTTGAAATGTCGTTTATAAAAATTATAAAGAATATTGGCCCAAGCAATGTGCCTTGAGGAATGCCTAATGCATTACTCTTGTATTCAGATGAAGCCCCATCAATAGCTGTTATCTGCCACCGATCCGCCAAATATGAGACTACCCAGTCATCTTATGCTGTGGTCTATTGAGTTAAAGGCACGGGTAAGGTCATAAAAAATACCTATAATATGCTGTTTCCGGTTAAGTTCTTCATACATATAGTTTATGCATTCTTGTATTGCTGTGTTAGTTGATTTATTAGCTCTAAACCCATGTTGGCTGTCGGAAATTATTTTAAAATTTTCGAGATACTTTACTAGTCTAGTGAAAAAGGCTGCTTCAGAAAGTTGAGCTTTTTGACTCTGTGGATATATAGAGCGGTAAGTTTTAGGGTCTGTAGACTAGCTTTTTGTTTATAGATTTGGATGCATTTAGATTCTTTAAGATTCGGAAAAATTCCGGTAGTGAGTGATAAGTTTATTAGGTATGTAAGTGATACATATTATATATTTAGCAACCGTAGCCAGAACTCTGCTATTTATATTGTCTATACCAGCGGAAGGTTTAGTAGTGGTTTTTTCAATAAATTATTACCTCTTCTGGGACTACTGGTGTAAGAATACTAGCGTTTCCCCCTGGTTTTGGACAAGTACCAGCTAATCCTACAAAATATTTATTTAATACATTACTTTTTTCTAGAGGATTTGTTATTTTGTTTCCATTAATTTCTAGTTCGGGTATAGAGGAACTACAGTGTACCGCACCTGTTTCATTTTTGATTATGTTCCAGCTATCTTTCATAACATCTACAGAATTTTTTATTATTTCATAATTTTTATTCTTTTGCTAATATTTAACAGTATATTTATAGATTGTTTAAATTCTTTGTACCTAGAAGTATAGAATGGACTGTTTAATAGTTTTTTAATTTTCCTCATTTCACATAATTGGTCATGCATACTTTTTATTCCATTTTTTTTTTTATTTTTATTTTTGCCTTGGTTTTTTTCATAGGGAAAGAAAAATTGTAATGGTATAAAAGTTTATCATAAAACAAACTGAATTTATCATGGAAAGTTTGATGTTCATTCATACAATCCTTCCCATTTCTTATTAGATGGTAGAATGTTTGAGTATTTCTGTCACTATAGTTTCTTTTACATGTAAATTTATTCATTAATAAATGGTTCTTATTAGAATTTTTGCGAGGGCCAATCACTTTGTTCAGATAGTAGATAGTAATAGATATTGTATCACCAATTACCTTGGTGTGAAACCCTGAAAAAGCAAATAATTTTAAAGTGACAATTGAAATCGGGCGTTCAGTGGAATTCTGTGATCCTAAAACTTTAAATAAGTATGGCATAGGTATTGCTAATTTGGATTATTTTTAATGGAAACGTTTACTGAAATTTGTTCTGACTAGAAACGTTTGAGTCACCTTTATAGAGAGCGAATTTCAAGGCCATTCACGAGGAGAATGCTTGTTTATATTTCACGGCTCGACTGTAGAGAGCTTAGAGCATTACATTAGGTAGAGAGTCGTAAAGTGCTTAAAATGTCACTTGTCAAATCAAACCACATACTTTGATTACTATACGAAGCAAAAGAGAGGTTCGACACTCCCAACATAGGGCGCGGCCATTTTGAACCCTGTGACACAGTTTACAGCTAAAGAATCAGATCGCTCACTCTGCGCCGGCACTTTTGATCTCAATGTTTCAGTTTATACACTGTGCAACTCGGATAATACAATATATGACAACCGCCTATAATAAAACAGCAGTCTTCTGCGTATCCTGAATTTGTATTGTATTTTGGAACTTTCAACTGGTCCGAGTGAGCTAACTGATTCTTTAGCAATAAATTGTGACTTCAAAAATAATATTCACTGACACTGACAGCAGCAAGCAAAATATCAGGTGCGTTTTAATCATCCGCTTCTGCTTCCGGAATTGTTTGTTTAGTCGTTTTAACCTGTCAGATTAAAACAAGAAAACCGACAATTCCGAAGCAGAAGCGGATGATTAAAACGCACCTATTAAAAATATTGCGCCAAGATGTAGGCAACACGTAATAAGGGTTCAAAATGGCGGAGTTTTCTATCTCCTTTTAAAAGGCACTTAGAAAGCTGCGCAGTGCGACCATTCTTCGTATAGTAAAAGAAAATCAAAGCCTTTTAAAAGGAGATAGAAAACTCGCTTCGGAATTGTCGGTTTTCTTGTTTTAATCTGACAGGTTAAAACGACTAAACCGACAATTCCGGAAGCAGAAGCGGATAATTAAAACGCACCTGTTATTTTGCTTGCTGCTATCAGTGTCAGTAAATATTATTTTTGGAGTCACAGTTTATTGCTAAAGAATCAGTTAGCTCACTCAGACCAGTTGAAAGTTACAAAATAACATCCACTCCAGGGATACAAATTCAGGATACGCAGAAGACTGCTGTTTTATTATAAGCGGTTGTCATATATTGTATTATCCGAGTTGCACAGTGTATAAACTGAAACATTGAAACATTGAGATCCAAAGTGCCGACGATTCTTTAGCTGTAAACTGTGTCACAGGGTTCAAAATGGCCGCGCCCTATGTTGGGCGTGTCGGACCTCTCTCTTGCCTCGTATAGTAATCAAAGTATGTGGGTAAGGAGAGAAGATGACATAACTAACATTATAATGATAAGAAAATGGCGTTCTAAGTAGGTCCGGACACGCAGTAATTTTGATATTTAATTCAATGAATATTTACGTGATGTATCCTTCGAGCATATATGCTCGAAGGATATATCAAATACAAATTCAATCACAAAAGAAAATTTGTATCAATATGTATGTGAAGTTTTCTAATTTGAAGATATTTACAAAAGCAGTTGGGAATTCCACAATTATTAGAGATAACACTTAAAAATAAAATAGATATGTCTACTTAAAATATTCTATATTGTTTTATAATAATTCCCATTGGCCTTGTAAATATGTTTCAGATTCCAGGGTTGGTGTAAGTAGTAAACAGTTTAATGCAGTAAGTAATTATTGTATGTTAAAAGAGTATCATAATATTATGTGTTATGAACAAAAATTCAAAAATAGGTTTATAGACCTTTTATTTATAGTGTGTTTTACAAAGCTGGATTTATATGGGATATTTTTTATTATTATGATTGGAAAAAATTTAGGTTTTTTTAGAATCTTAAAAGTTGAGCGGGAATGGCATGAATTATTTTATTATCATTTTTTTGAAAAACAGCCAAAGTACCAACGGTGGTAGTAGTAGAACTAGTAGACTAGTAGAAAAGGTTCTTTTTCACTCGAGCGGCGAACAGGAATAGGGAACTCAAAGTATCTGGACGAGAAAAAGGAGAAGTACCATACGTAAAAGTTAAAAGACGAAAGATGCAATAAAGCTGTCATCCTAGGGTTACGCAAATCAAAAAAATAAATGACATTTTGGAAGACCTCGAAAGCCAGGAATTAAAGCCAATAAAAAACCAAAGGATGACGTCGAAAATGGACATGCACCCACTGCCACTGTTTTGCTGTTGTTCCTAATCGACACACAGCTCATTGAAAAGGCCGCCGTGATGAAGGTTATAAGATGCCTTAACCTTGTGGTTCGCATGGAAGCACTGCATACGTATATTTCACCTCACAGTGTTACCGATGCCAAGGATTTCACCACACACAGTCTGGGTGCTACTGTGCTGCAAAGAAGGATATCGAGCAGAGCAATGTGCATGATCGACAATCAGGGAAGCCAAGGCCACTTGTGCCAATTGTGATAGAGAGCATTTTGCCAACTACCGTGGAAGTGTAAAATACCAAAAACATAGAGCAACGAGACAACAAAAACAACCACAGACACAAATTACAAAACCTACACTAAGAATATTTCATACGCAAATACCACAAAACAGGTCATCAGACAAGTAATGGACCAAAAACAGAAGGAAGAATGAAACGACGCAGTACTTAAAGAACTGTTGCAAATCCTCATGTGACATCAAGGAATTAAACAATGAATACACCACTTATAATGATAATATAAGGATAATCCGAATAAATAAGAATATTCTATTTAAATTGATTAACAGAGGGGACCTTGATGTCATAGCACTACAGGAAACGAAGTTAGGCAGGTAAACTTTTGTAACTCTGGCTATAACGTATATAGAAACAATCTTAGAATAAATTTAGGAGGCACAGCGATTCTTAAGCGGGAGATATTACAATCGCACCCCCCAAAAGGTCCCATATTAGGAGAACTTAACGCAAAATCAGCCGACTTAAATAGCAGGATACGCAATCCCTCTGGACGTGCGCTGAAAGCCTACTTTGCTAACAACCCAGGATGCAACTTGATCCAACCAACCACCACCACCACGAGGACTGCCAGAAGTTATCGACATCGCTATTGTAAGAGATTGTACATTTCCTTTACAAACGTTTTCTCTAAACGAGGGTTTCGGTAGTCAAGTTCTGTACTACTTTATCTGAGTGAAGGAGAGCAAGACGACTCTCCGAAGAAGGTGTCGAAAACAAACTGGATGCAGTTCAAGAAAATACTTGGAAATGTACCGATACTTGAAGACAAGGAGGCAGTGGACCGAGCACTAGAGCACGTGGTAATGATCATCCAGCAAGCATTGCAAACCAGCTCGAGGGAACTCGAAGTTACTAAGGCCAGCAGATTTAAAAACATCGGCTAAGGCATCAAGGACCTTATACAAGAAAACCGACATGCATTCATACGAGCAAATAGAACCAGACTCTCGAGAGACAAAATTCGAAGACCAAACATCTCACAGAGACTGTGAGAAGAACTAAAACAACACAGCGATGACCAACAATCTGGACTCTGGACATTCCAGAAAATACTACTATGCGACAAACAAAAAGTATCCACACTATACGGAACGCAATGACTAGCCCACACCGCTGAGGACAAAGTTGAAGTATTCGTCTCCTCCTTGGGGAATGAATGCCATAAACACTGAACACGACGATGAAGGCATAAACTTTGAATCGAAGTAGACGATCTGTGGGAATACGACTACCATAATGATGAAGTTGATGTGCAAAACGTCGCCTTGACATCTGCAGATGAGGTAAGTGCCATAATACGTTTTGTTTCAGCTAAGAAAGTACCTGGATGTGATCATATACCGAACAGAGCACTGAAGCTCTTAATAAACAAACATTAAATAACTGAACATGATTTATTTTTAAGATTAAAATAACCAAAGAAGGTTGACAGCTGTGTGCATGTAGTATAGATTCAAAAGAAAAGACTTGTATTTCGTGCAAAACTTTTTAATTAATAAATGCAAAGCACTTTCGGCATTGTGCCATTATCAGTGCTTATCTACAAAAATTGTGGATGTAAACTTACAATTCATAAATATGTGTATAGATAAAATCTGAGTGACTTTTAAGTCAAAAGTTAAAAAATATATATAGGGTGATTTTGAACAAATTAACAATTAACAGATAACAAACAGAGTGACATAACCCAGTGTTGGGAATAGTGAGTGTGGAATAAGCCCCTAAAAAATCATATCTGGACAGGAATTCTTATGTGCGAACTCAACACGTTACGTGTTGAATAGAGCGAGAGAATTTACATAAGAATCGCATTCTGTCGAACGAAGATAGAGGCTTCTCAACATGTGTCGTATTGGAAGATGAGAATCCCACTGCTGATCTCCAGAAGCAAGTTAGCTTGTGTGGAACTAAGGAATTATACCACCTTCACTATTCGCATTGAGTACAGTTTGAAAACAAGTTAAAAAATTTGTTTAAAATTTAAAAAAAAATTACAAATAGAGAGGGTGACTATGGAAAATATATTGAAATTTAAATTTAGAATACAATAGTTAATATGAAAAAGGTTAAAGGCAGAAGGCCAAAGGAAAAAAACTGAAAGTTTTTTTTTCCTGTACATTATAATAATTGTAAAAAAGTTTACGTTCTGTCCACAAACAAGCATATCCACCAAGTTTATAGTCATCCTTGTTCCAAAATTAAATATTTCTGGAGATTCACAACTTGCTAAATCATAATTATTACAATTGGTAATTAAGTGTAAAGGTTAAAGAAAAGGTCCTTTATTTCTCACAAGTCAATTTATTGGCGACCGGTTTCGAAGTTGTCACTTCATCATCAGGCACACCTAAATGGAATGTCAAGGAGTCAGTTGTAATAAAAACAATTATAAAAGCATGAACGGACTTTAACATATACAAAATAACAGAAAAAACACAAAAGAAAGTTAAACAATAACCTTGACTCACCTTGACTAATTCCATAAAGGAAGCGCTACAAAAAGTTTAACAGAACGAGTTAAAAAAGTCATGTGTAATAAGTATTTTTTTAAAAAATTTTAATGTAGGTTAGGTTAAACCACCAGATGTCTTTTTGAATAAAATAATTAATTAAAACACATTTAAGACAATTATTAACTAAACAACACAAAATAGTTTTACAAGCACAAACAGTTTAAAAAATTTTTAAGGAAATAATGTTAATTACTGAAAGTAAAAAGTAAAAAAGTAAAAATTATCAGACTGTCAAGACATCTATCTAGATTTTTAACGAATCAATGCAGTAAACTGTAAATTTTAAATTAGCGGATAAATAGTGTACTAACGGAGGTGTTATTTACTGAAAGTGAGTATAGGTGGCGATGACAAAATTTATTGAAAGTAAAATATATTAAACTGAGAATGAGAAAGCAAAAAATTTTTTTAATACTAACAAGAAAATTAGAACACTAAACAAGAAAATATGAAAATTCATATGTAAAAAGGGAAATTTGAAGCAGATAATCAAAAGAAAATTACTGTTACAGGAAACGGAAAATAGGTTGACAGTACGAATGTCAAAAAAGAAAAGTCAAATTTTGGCGTATGACAACCACGTGGGAGAATTTGAATAAGCTAAAAAAAAAAAATTTGCTTTCTCATTCTCAGTTTAATATATTTTACTTTCAATAAATTTTGTCATCGCCACCTATACTCACTTTCAGTAAATAACACCTCCGTTAGTACACTATTTATCCGCTAATTTAAAATTTACAGTTTACTGCATTGATTCGTTAAAAATCTAGATAGATGTCTTGACAGTCTGATAATTTTTACTTTTTTACTTTTTACTTTCAGTAATTAACATTATTTCCTTAAAAATTTTTTAAACTGTTTGTGTTTGTAAAACTATTTTGTGTTGTTTAGTTAATAATTGTCTTAAATGTGTTTTAATTAATTATTTTATTCAAAAAGACATCTGGTGGTTTAACCTAACCTACATTAAAAATTTTTTAAAAAATACTTATTACACATGACTTTTTTAACTCGTTCTGTTAAACTTTTTGTAGCGCTTCCTTTATGGAATTAGTCAAGGTGAGTCAAGGTTATTGTTTAACTTTCTTTTGTGTTTTTTCTGTTCTTTTGTATATGTTAAAGTCCGTTCATGCTTTTATAATTGTTTTTATTACAACTGACTCTTTGACATTCCATTTAGGTGTGCCTGATGATGAAGTGACAACTTCGAAACCGGTCGCCAATAAATTGACTTGTGAGAAATAAAGGACCTTTTCTTTAACCTTAACACTTAATCCCTACTACTCACATATGGCTACCCTCACTCCAAAACAATTGGTAATATTTTCAATTTTAAATTGATTTATACAATAATTTTTATTAATGTTTAACCGACTGTTTCCATGTGACAGTGGTGACAAGCGACAACTAAAGACGTTTACCTGCCAAATGTCAAGAAAGGAGGTGCGTTCACCTCAGTGTGAAACAAGTTTCCCCAAGTGTGATTCGAGTGATTGGAGGTGGTTAAAGGAAATCAAAATTTGTTAGTATTGAGTTTAAAGAAAATTTTTTAAAATCTTATTTATTTGTTAGTTAAATTTTAGTTTAAATAAATGTATAATATAAATTGATCTTTTTAATAATCCTTTTAATGTCAAGACAAAACATAAATATCACTCGCGAGATTCTGATGTGCCAGCCCGGGCTTTGCAGAACTTTTTTCAGAGAACCCAAGATGGTACAACTGAACCCGCGGTCCCTAAAGGTGAATTTGATGTTTAGTTTTTATTTATTTTCTATTATTTCATTTCTATCTAACGTAAAAAATAGTTCTTTAATTTTCATTTGATGTTATGTTATGTCACATATTGTTAACATAAGAACATTGACAACTTCGCTGAAAGAACCAATTTGCGCACCTCGTATCGGTAATCTGGCGTTTATCGGCTATGTTTGTAATTGGCTAAACAACAGTCGTATGTTTGAGGGGTTTGGGATCGTTAAAGAACACAGTTCGTTGAAGTAACTCTATTTAACTAGCCCCTTGACCACCGCATGATAAGTACGTGTTCGACTGCTATTGCTCAGCTCAGTGATCCGATTTTAAATGTTTCCCTACCCTCTAGCTCAATGTGCTGTGGTCAAGGGGCTATTGTCTTTACGCATACCTTGCGTTTAGGTTGAATAGAGAGTAAGTAGAATATTTTCTGCCAACTTGCTTTTTTATTCGATGACGTCCCTTCGTCCACACCAACTAGGATGAAGCCACCGTAGTGTCTTCTAACCGTAGCTATAAGCATTTTTTTTACCCACAGAAAAATTGAAATTGAGATGTTATTCACTAATCTGAAGTAGACGAACATGTATTGACATTGTTTTGACCTTCAAGATTTCGCGTTATGCAAACAGAGGTTAAAATAAGTTTGACTGCATGATTTTAATCGTTGATTTATTTAATGTTTGGATTATAATACTATTAAAAAAAAGATTAGTTTTTTACAACCATATATTCATGTAGAATTTAGTACCATTATTCGAATTAGTAACTTACCTCTCAGTGCCATTACAACTGCTATTACTATTAAGGTGATTCGACGAGGGCGGATTGGTACCTGCCGTTGATCCAGGTGCCGTCCGCCACGCCCCCAATAATGGCCCCTCCCCTGAACTCGCGAGCGCGACACTCGAGGGTAATTTCAGCCGATTACGAAGATCTTTTCGCCGAGCTTTGCGCGACAAATCGAGTTCACTTGCCGCCGAACTGACGTTAGCCGCGCGATTTATGTACGCGATACTGTCGCGCGATGACGAATAGTACCCGACTTCGTGCTGCTGTTGGTGGTGCTGGTGGTGGTACTGGTGGGCGTGGCGCGGAGACTGGTGCTGTAGATGAGGACGCGGTTGTCTAGACATCCCCAGTTTGCATCCTACTAGGTCTGAAACAATAAAATATACATTATAATTATTGAATTAAGGGCGTGCATTGGAACAGAGAAGTCTGAACAAGTCCTCCCAGAGAGAGACAAAATAAAGTTATCCGAGAGGTGCTGCCTCTAGTTAGCAACTAAGTAACAAATATACGTTCTGCATTTTCGCATTTGCGAATAAAAATGTATTCTTTTAAACTCGCAGGTACGGGCTTTTGTATGGTATAGATTGAAATTTTTTTGACTTTGCCTCCCACTTCGGTGTCACAAGCTGAATTTTTCAGGAATGAAAGTACATGATAAGCTTACCCTTATTCCGGAGGTAATACAAAATTAGACAGTGCAAAAGGGCACTATCATAAAAAATCGAGTTATTGATACCACCATATAGAAAAAAAATGCTTATTTTTTTGTTGTAATGCACAATAAGGTCTTTGTAGGAAGTATTTTTTTATAATTATTTAAAAAAAATCATTTGCATTAGCCCTTATGGTCGAAAAAAAATTTAAACGTCAATATCTCGGTTTCAACCGTCCACAAATTTGTATAAAAAATCTTTTTTTAGAAATATACCTCTCATTTGACGAAAAACGAAGGCCTAAATGAGAAAAAACTATTCTTCATAAAAGTTTCGCCAATGTATTAACAAGGTAACAGTGCTTTCCCCATATTTTTTGCTTTTATAATAACAAAAATATAGCAATAAATAATTAGTTATGTCATGGTTTAACTAGAAAGCAAACATTGAAGGTAAAGTCTCTCACTCTCTAGTCTTCTCTCGCAGTGCTAAAATGTATGCAATCACGGATTATTGATTTATACGCTATGATTTATTTTTTTATTTTTTGAGGAAAATCAAAAATAAGAAAATATGAACTATTTATTGAAGGTATAAACACAGTATATATAAGTATCGATTAAAAACAGTAAGGCTATTGCTTTGCAAAATACAATAAATTTCCAATGTAAAAAACATTATAATAAGAATAATTAAAAGTATATAAAGCATAAATTAATAATATTAAAATTTATAGTACAAGACTTTTAAACTAATCAGAATAAGATTCACTACACGAATCAACATTTTCCAAAACATTAGCGACTGTGGTCAAACTTTTTCTGCAGTTTTTCTGTGCCATACAGGTAGGTGCAGGAACCGATACAGCCAATATTTTTTTCCTGCATTTGCAAATTTTGCTTTCTTAGCTGAAGGCGAAGAGAGACATGCACTGAAAGTCGATGAATTGGCGGTGGGAATTAATTACAGCGTAAACCTATGACATCTCTCATCGTTTCTTGTTATATCTTTGTTAATTCAAAAGCAGAAATATGGTGTTTACTCTGTTACCTTGTCAACACATAAACAAAATTTTTATGATTTATTTTTTCATTTAGGCCTTCCTTTTTTGTTAAATGAGTGGTATATTTAAAAATGACGACTTTTTAACCAAATTTTTGAAGAGGTGAAACTGAGATATTTACGTTTAATTTTTTTTCTGCCGTAAGTACTAATGCAAATGATTTTTAAGTATAAACAGTTACTCTCTTCAAAGATTTTATTGTGCATTGGAACAAAAAATGAGTAATTTTTTCTCTATTCGGCGGTATCAATATCTGGTTTTTTGGCGATAGTGCCCTTCTGCACAGTCTTATTTTGTATTACCTCTGGAATAAGGGTTACCTTATCATGACCTTGTATCTGTGAAAAATTCAGCTTGTGGCAAAAGAGTGGGAGGTAAATCGTTTTCTAGCGCGAATATTTTAATACATACACTCTACGTAAGGGCATCAACTAGGTAGATAGGTTCTGTAAAGTATGAACAAAGAAGTTCTTTAGTGGGCTTCAATTTATTTTCTATAGGTACCTATGCCTTTATTTATAACAACACGGTTATAAAAGCAGAATGCGAACAATTGAGTTGATCACCCCAATGCTGACAAGCTCTATAAAGTGCTCTATTAGTGCGTAATTGTTTAATATTTCAATTTGTGTTATTGACACGCCAATAAGTTTTAAATAAAAATTATATAGATTTAAAAAAATATGTATTTTAAAAATATTTTTGAGTACACTTGGTGTTGCGTTTTTGTCTGGCAAATAAATAGAACATTCTGTATTTTATTTTAGTTTTAGAATGGTTTAATAGTACTGTATGTAGCCCTAGAAACTGTATGTAGCCCTAGAAACTGTATGTAGCCCTAGAATTTTGTTTAAAAATATAACAGGTTTGTCAAGCCATTATTTTTTTTACGAAATTAGAGAATGATGCAGATCCCAAATTAAATTATCATAATTTAGGTAGGTTTACAATGATTTAAAATTGTTTTAAATACATTATTATAAGATACTAAGCTAACGAGTAGTGGTGATAGAATTGGTTTATTTTATGTCTTAAATATAACCAATTTTAAGTTGAATTTCGTCAATTTTTTCAAATGCAAAATTTTAGCATAAAATTTCTTTAAATTTACCTATCCAACGATACTAACATGTTAGCCAATAACACAAATACAGGGTGTCCCATTAGTGCGTAATTGATCAATAGCTGTTTTAATATTGGAAATACGAAACACAAAAATAATAAAGTTGTTTGACCGTGTTTAATAAAAATTCTTAAATATACGGGGTGTTACATAAACGAGGGGCTGACCCATATCTGCTTGTTTTCACATCGTCAATCAATTTTGATAGACTTCATTTATTTGCTATGTTGAATATAGGGTGTGTTAAAATTTTCAATTTTCTAAATTTTTTTAAATGGAATACGCTATATGTTATACCACCAATTGATTAATACAGGGTCCATTTACAAAATTGAGAAAATCGTAACCTCACGTTTTGACACACCCTATACAACATAGCAAATTAATGAAGTTAATTTTATTAAAATTGATTGACGATGAGAAAACAAAATTAGTATAACAACCTGCAGGGTGTTTTGCTTTTAAAAAGTATAGATTTGGTTCGCACCTCGTTTATGGACCACCCTGTATATTTAGGAATAATTGTTAAATATAATCATACAACTTTTGTATTAAAAATTTCGTCGTATTTCTAATAATAAAACAGCTATCTATCAAATATGCGTTATTGGCTAACTATTGGTATCGTTGTATAGACAAATTTTTAAAGAATTTTATGATAAGATAATGTACACGATGATGCATTTTAAAAAATTGAGTAAATTGAACTTAAAATCAGTTCTATCTCCACTATTCGTTAGCTTAGTATCTTGTAAGTCTGTATATTAAACAATTTTGAGATCAATGTAAACCTACCTAAATTATGATAATTTAATTTGCGGTCTGCATCATTCTCTAATTTCAAAAAAAATTAATGCTTGGCAATAGTGTAATATTTTATAAAAATATTCTAGGATTGAATACAGTATTACTAAAATATTCTAAAAATAAAATACAGGGTATTCTATCTAAAAAATATACATTTTTATTTGCCAGGAAAAACGCAATACCCTGTATATCCAAAAATATTTTTAAAATATCTATTTTTCAAATCTTTATAACTTTTATTAGCGTTTATTAGATTAAATTTGAAGTTTAAAATTTACTGTTTATTCATTTTCGAATTATCGTTAAAACCTAAAGTACAGTTGAAAACTACAAGTCGAAAAAAAAGCAATCCTATACTTTACTGGATAAATGAAAGTTAAAACCTAATTTAAAAAAAAAAAAAAATACATTTAAGCATATTAGATTTGTATGAATATTTGAAATATTCAATTTTATAAAACAATTAAAAGTACCATTAACACCTAGGCTCCAGTATCCAACAAAATAAGCAAGCAATAAATTTTTACCATCTCCGTGCAAACATTTTCCGATCTCAAAGTATACAGTTGAGGCTTTCTCTCATTACTTACATATCCTTCATGCTCTTACGCAAATATTGAATATATTTAATTCTTACAAAATTAAAAAAATCGAATACAAATCAACTTAATAATTGAAATGATATACATATTAGTAAACTCCTAAATAAGGACCTGCATATTTGAATTTATTTTTATTTTTATTCAAGACGACTTTAGCGCCATCTATTAGAGAAGCTCCGAATTAACCTGTGGCTACTGTATGCAATTTTAGGAAGTTTTCTTTTATATTTTAGGCAATTATTACACATAAATGGCGATTTATAATTTATTCCAAAATTTACTTCAATGAGCTTTTAAGAAAATTGACGCAATTAATTTAGATATTTTAAGTGACATTTGTTGCTTTAGTATATAGCCTATTCAAAGAAGAATTATTTTCATCATCGGGTAATTATTACTGGTATATTTTTAGCTTTATTTCATCGTAAAAATTACCATATTTTGGGAATTATTTTTAAACGATCCCTTATAGTTAGGGACACCAAAAACCTTTATTGAACAGTAGTATATATCTATTAACGGCAGGAATTTTTTTACTTTTATCTTTCTTGTAGTTTCAGCTAAAAAGTCATTGAAAGAGCGTTGTGTATGCCTATGTTAAATACATTGCCCACGCCCGCCCTTAATGGAATATACGTTATGCAAATAAGAAAGTCTAGTAAGCCGAGAAACCTGTGTAAGTCAAATTTTTATATAAACAGAAAAACATCATTGACTTTTTGAAAATTGTGTGGAGGGTTCACAATCTATAAATGCGACTATAATTGTATTAAAAATGTAAATGGGATAAATCCTTAGATTATAGAAATTTATAATCGTTATTTTATCATCTTATTGGAAGCATGGAAAAACCAAAAAGATAACAAGGAGATCGGATTATAAGATGGTTACCTACCTAGGATTTGGTATAAAGATAATATTGGCAGTTGCAGTTAGTATCTTGATCAGTTTCTAATAATACCTATCCAGTTTAATTAGTCTTCTATTATTATCTATTATAGTAAGAAGTTGTGGTTATTTTCGGTTAATAGTGACAGTAGTATTAAAAAATACAGTGTGGTTCAAGTTCAAAGTTTACACTTGTGAAACGTAT